CCCCAAGCTGGAGCCTAAGGAAGAGTCTCCCACCCAGTTCAACAGCTTAGCGCCAGCCAGCCCCAAGCAGGAGCCTGCAGCCCAACCTCCTGCTCAGCACAATGGTTCTGGGCCGGTCAGCCCCAAAAGGGAGCCACTGGACAGTCCTGCTCCCCGCAGGACCCCTAAAAGAGTGAAGACCGAGGTGCTTCCCAGCTGACCAGAGGGTCTGGGAGAGTGGGGCTTTTTGGAGAAATCGTGGATTTGGTTTTTTTCTTACCAGTCTCACTTTGTTACTTGCCTCTATCCTGGGGCAGGAGATCTCAGGGCACTTACAGCTGTGCTGCAGGTTCTCCATTGGGGCTCCCTTTAATCCCAGGGGCCTCTGGTAGGGGCCTGGGGAGGAGCAACCTTGCTCTGGACCCTGAACTTCGAGCTGAAACCGCAGGCACCTGCTCTGCCCCAGCTCGACTCAGGACTTTCTGGGAGTTGTGGCTACGCCCTCCCTCATTTTCTGGCCTAAACAGAATTAACTCTCTGTGCTCCCTGTGCCCTCACACCCCTAACCCCTGTCTTCCCCCAAGTGGCCTTCACGGTCCCTCCAGAAGGGAAAGGGGGCAGATCTGCTATTTAGGAACCAAACTTCATGGTGGGACAGACAATAGAGGCTTACACTGCCTTTGGGCTGAAGGGAGAATGGTGGGCCCACCTGGCTTCCTCCAGGCTTCCAGGAAAGTCTTCAGTGCAATAAAAGCAGAATTTCTTGTATCTGAGTCTGTTTAATATCCACAACCTTGCATCAGGTCCTAGGCCCTGGGGAAGGAGTGTGTGGTTCCTCGTCCCCTGGGGACGTCAGCCTGGGCTTCCTTGCAATCCAGACCTGGGGGCAAAGGAGGGCAGTACCAGCTGCTGGCATTCCTTAAGCCCTCAGTTTGTAATTATGTACCTATTTGCATGGTTTTAAAATATTTGCCCTTGCTACTAGGCTGTGAGCTGCTTGAGGAAAGATCCTTTGGTTGCTATTGCACCCTCAGACACCTGCTCAAAAGGAGAGGGCTGGTGTGACCCGTTAAGAGCTCCAGCTGTAACCTTAGATGGGTCCCCTCACTTCTGACACTTCAGTCTCTTCATGGGGAAAATGAGCTGGATGGGCAGCCCAGCCCTCCCGGAAGGCGGATGCCCTTGAAGGGCCTCTGGAGGCTGCGGGAGACCAGCGCTTCGCGGGCAGCCTGCTGCCGCTCTCCACGGTGCTGAAGACGAAGACGTTACTGGAGCATCACACGCCGCCTCTCCAGCCTGGGTGCCTGGGGTACTCCACCTCCCCCATCCGGGCTGGCCCAGCCCCACCTTCTGGGGTCTGGGGAGCCCCAGCCTCCAATTCAGCCCCCACCTGATTCTGCTTCTGCCAGCCATGTTCTGTCACAATATTTTATTAAGGACCACGGCAGTCTTAGAGAAGGTGGGGGGTGACTGTGGGCCATGGCCATCCCAAAGTTCAGAGCTCAGCCAGTGCTTAGGAGTCAGGGTCCCTGCAGTCTCAGCCGCTTCCTCCTCACTGTGTGCGAAGGCGCAGGAAGGAGTCCCCAGGCAGGGCAATTGTTGAAGCATGTTGTGTGTTTATGTCTGTCTGGGCCTATGGATCACTGTGTATCTGCCTCTTTCCTTCTCTGCCTGGTTCTGTGTGTATTTCTCAGGCTTTGTGGCCTTATGGTTGCCCTGTGTCTGAGCATCAGTTTCTGTTCCTGTGGGTTTGTGCCATCCTGGCATCTCCACAAGGGTCTCTATCTCACCTCCAATCCTCTGCCTCTCCACTGTAGCACCCATCACAGTGCCCCTGAGCGGAGGGGCCCGGGGTCACGTCCAGGTGGTGCTCACAGCTCCTCCCCCACTGCCTCCAGCCCCACGCGGCCTGGGCTGAGTGCTGGCTCAGGCGAGGCCCAGTCCAGCAGGGTAGACCGGCTCAGCTCCTCTGTCCAGTTGTCCTGGACCAGGGTCGACTTGTTCATTTCCTCCATCGAGTTGTCTAGATCCAGCATATCCTGAGATTTCCAGTGTACCCTGGGGCTGCCTGGAGACCCTCCCTGGGGTGCGCCAGCCTCGGGCTGAGGACCTGGGGCCTCGGAACCTGGTGTGGTGTCGAGGGCCACACGGGAAGCAGCGTCGTTGTGCAAAGTTCTGGAGAAAACTGAGCGAGGGTTGGGGGGTTCATGAGGGATTGAGGAGGCTGGTGTTCCTTCTTTCCTTATCTCCCAGCCTCAGGGAGCGGTTATATGGGGGGCTCCTTCCCCCTCCCCCAGAGGCCCAATATGGGGACTTGGGGAGCCAAGGGGATTGTGCCCATGGTGCAGCCCAGGGGGACCCAGAAGCACTCCTGACCCACCTACCTCGCACCGGTGTGAAGTCTCCGGGACTCTCGGCTTTGTTGGGGGCAAAAGGGCTGATGGAGGGGAGGACGATGAGGGCAAAAGAGAGCAGCAGGACCTGCCAGAGACGGGGCCGGGGTCACCCCATCCCTCCACCATCCCCGTGAGCACAGTCATCTTATGGGCAGGGAAACTGAGGCCCAGAAGACTGGATTATGCTTTAACTGGGGCTGGGGCCATGCTACTCACACCTTTCCCCCTCCCACAGGCCGGTCTCCCAAGGCTGAGCACCCCTTTATCCTGGGGGCCATCAAAGCAGAGGCAGGACTCACCGCTATGCAGGTGCCTGCCTGGGCTGACTTGCTGGTGGACTGGACCACAATGGCCTGTAGTTTCTTCAGCTGCTCCAAGAGGGACCTTAATGCAATGAGCAACCTTGGCTGAGCCCTACAGGGCCTTAGCCTGGCTCCCTGTCCATTTCTGGGGTCCCTCAGCATGGCTGATGTCTGAATCCTGTCCATCCTTCAAGGCCCCACTGCTCTTACAAGTCCCAGACCCTTCTTCTTTGCTTTGATAAATCTCCAATGACATCCCACCCACTTCTCTGCCACCCCATCCAGGCCTCTAGGATCACTCCCCTGGATGCCAGCCAAGCCCAAGCCTCCTCTCTTGTCCCTCCATCTTTCTCTCTCCCTTCCCCCCTGCATCTCTCACCCCCTACTCAGCAACCAGGGGATGCTTTTCAAATATAAAACAGCTTCTCCCAACCCTCTCAGGGCTCCCACCTCCCTCAAGTCCTCCCTGCAACTGAAGCCCTGCACAACCTGCCCCATCCTCTCCCTGCCCTCACCTCCTCCCTCTCTCCCCTTCACTCACTCTGCTCCAGCCACACTGGCCTCCTCATCGTTCCTCCAACATGCCGGGCACAGTCCTGCCCCAGGACCTTTGCAAGGGCTATTCCCTCTAAGGACACTGTTCCCCCAGGTCTTTTGGTAGCTGGTTTTTTCTCATCCATTAGGTCTCATCTCAAATGTCACCTTATCTGACCTTCCTGTCTAAAATAGCCCTTCAGCCCTGGCCGGGTAGCAAAGTTGGTTAGACCGTCGTCCCGATACTCCAAGGTTGCGGGTTTGATCCCTGGTCAGGGCACATACAAGAATCAACCAATGAATGCATAAGTAAGTGGAACAACAAATTGATGTCTGTCTCTCTCTCTCTCTCTCTCTCTCATCAGTATAAAATAAAACAGTCCTTCATTCACCCTGCTTTATTTTTCTTCCTACTTGCTATCATTATTTGCATGATCTTTTATATATTTTTTTTCTTGAGTATGTCTCCCACTAGACTGTGTCTTCTTTGTTCACTTGTGGTCCTAGTGCTCAGAACTATGATGCAGAGTAGATACTAGATACATGGACTAAATGGATGGGCCCCTTAGATGGAATTATGTGCCATTCTCCCACACACCATACCCCTAGCCTCTGGCCATTCATATGTCATTTCCTCTACCGGGAGCAACTTCCTCCTATGAATTCTTATATATCCTTCAAGACCCAAAATCCAAATCCCCTCTGGGATGTAGCCTGCCTCCTTTCTAGGCTGAACCCTTACCCCCTGCTCTACCCTGCCATCAATGAAGCTGTCCCCTGCCCGCATTCTTCACCTCTCCTGCTAGGGATTTGGGGGCCAGCTCCCCCTGTCCTCTGCCCTGGCTCGACCAAGACTCACCGATTCTGCTTCTCAAGATGCAAGACTTTCCTCTGAAGCTCCTGGTTCTGGGCAGTGCAGGCTGACATCCTGCAGGGACAATGGCACAGTGACATTCAGAGTATGCCTGTCACCAACTGTCCCAATCATATCTTCCTGTGAGGCCCCACTTTACTAGCAGGGAACCCAAGGTCAAAGAGGAGAAGTCACTCATTCAAAGTCACTTCGGCAAGTCTGTGAGAGGGTCAGAATTTGAACCCAGGTCTGCATTGGTGTCAGGGGCTTCATTCAAGTCTGAGCCCCCAGGATTGGGATGGAATGCCAAACTCAGGCAGTGATGCTTCCAGGAGATGAACTAGCAGGGAGACTGAGAGTCCAAGGAGAACCAAGTTACAATCTTCACCATCCCTGTGACCTTGAGCCACTCAGCTCTCTTACCTAAGTCCCCTCATTTGCACAATGGGGTTACAATTACCTAGTTCACAGAGTGATTGGGAGGATGGCATGAAGAAAAGTTGACTGGGGGCTTAGCAGACTGCATTTGAGGAACAAGACAATGATTACTGTTCCATCTAGGGTGCTGGGGTCCAGCCAGGGGACCCCACCTTTCCCATCTGCATCCATCTGTGAATATGGTTTCAACTCCACTCAGATGTGGAGTTGAAATACTCAGATCACAGCATGAGGATGTGTCAGTCCTTGTATCACAACCAGGGAAGAGAAGAAATTCCCTCACTGAAAGGCCCTCCTTCTAAATAACTCACAAAATAAAGAATTAAATTACAGAAAACCTAGGGTCCACATGGTAATGACAGTACAAATAAAAATGTGTGGGATGTAGCTAAGGTGGTGCTGTGAGGGAAATGTATAGCCTTAATTCAGCTCAATGAACTAAACATGCATATTTAAAAACTAGCAAAAGAACAACAGCATAAACTTCACCACCACCACCCCCCCCACACACAAAAACATTCTAGGAAGGACATAACAAAGCTTACAGTAGAAATGAAACAACTAGAAAAGAAAAATAGAATTGGGTGGAAGGAAAAGTCAGAAATCCATTCTTTGCAAAGAATAATAAAATAGACAAACTTCTGGCATGACTGATCAAAAAGATAAAAGAGAAAGAGAAGGCACAAATAAACAAATGAATTATTTAAAAGGGTATAAGTGTAGATGGCTCAGAGCTTTAAAAAATAATAGGAGAGAACTATAAGTCATTTTATGTCAATAAATTTGAAATCGGCAACTTTGCAGAAAAATATAACACCCCAAAACTGACCCAGGAATAAGGAGAAAACCTAAATAGACCTGTAACATTCCATAAAGTCACTCTTGGCAGTCACAACAGCTCTGAGGACCAGTAATATCAGACAAGGGAAAGAAGCATCCCATCATCCCATGTTCTGACATGGAGCCTGATGGGTAATACCTCCCCCTTTCTTGGCACCACATATTCTAGGGGATAAAGGGACCCTGAAACCCTTGCACTGTGCCATCACTAGGCATATTCCCATCCTTACAATTCACATGAAAAACGTCTCTCCCAGAGAAGGAAAATAATTCTAATTTTGTCAGGCTTTAAAAACTGTGACCTTAGGCCCATTGCACCCCTTTCTCTGGGCCTCAGTTTCCTCCCTGAATGTGCAGTCCCAAGACCCAGCCTTACCGAGTTTCCAGGCCATCAATATATTCCTTCTTCTTTTTCCGGCTTTCTTGGGCTGACTGTTTGTTTCGGATTTTCCTGCGGATTTTTTTCAGCACTCGCTCCTCATACTGCCAAGTGACATGGGGAGCAAAACTGAGTCAGGCTGGAGGGTCTACTGTTATCTAGACCCAACAATTTTACCCTATTCTCTTCTCATGGGAGCCATCCCAGACTGGGGGGGTCTGAGGGCAGACTCCTGATGACTTTAAGACCAGCTTTCCTGTCCCTAAATTCTTGCATTCTCTAGGAGGGGCCTGGGTCATGGCAATCTTCCCAGCTCCTAGTCCGTTAGTAACTCCTACCAAACTCTGTGTATGGTGCAATCGCGCCACCTTCTGGTCATATTTGAGAACAGTGCTTTTCATGGGGCCAGCTGATACCAACACTAATGTCTTCCAATTGGAAGGGCAAACTCAGGTGTTGATAGTACGTGAACGGGCTGGAAGGGAGCTGTGGTGAGATAGAGAGGTCCCACTAGGTTGGCTTTCTGCATGATTATTTTTACTCTGGTGACAGACACGTCCAAACATTCTTAGTGTGGGGGGCCTAAAGGTGAGACTCATGGGCAGCTAGCTGCAGGAAGGGGGAGAGACCCAGGGCCAAGGGTCTCACCCACTCACCTTGGTAAGGGGCAGCTGAGTGGGCAGCGTGATGCCTTCTTTGGCCAACAGTTTCTTTTCATCCTCTGTCAGCATCAGCTCCTGGCAGTTCCCAGTCCCTGATCTCAACGGGTGGGGGCCTGCCAGATGCTGCTGTTGCTATGGAAAAAACAGGAAAATTGCATTGGGACAGAGAGAGTGACAGCCTTTAGGAAATGAGGCATCAGATTTGAGAAACTATCAATCCACCTGCAGTAGAGTACCCACTAGCACTAGGGCTCAAGAGCCCAGCACACGGCCCTTTGACCTAGCAATTCCACTTCCAAGAATTGATCCTACAGATGCCCTCACACATGTGCAAAAGTATGGGCATAGAGGATTTTCACTCGCTTAACAAATAGTCAGCTATTTATAGTCACCGACTACATTCCAGGCACCATTCTGGGCTGTGCATATTCATTGTAACACTGTCTGCAATCTCAAAGGGTTGAAAGCAATGAAAATATCCAGCAAAGAGGGCACAGGTTAAGTAAGGTGTGACACATTTATACAATGGAGTATTGCACAGCTGTGAAAAGGGATGGGCTCTCCATGTCATGCTATGGAGCAATGACCATGATAAACTGTCAAATTAAAAAAAAAAGAGAGAGGGCCACAACATTGTTACATGTGGCGTGCTACTTTTTATATTAAACTTGTTTTTTAAAGGCATCTCTCTGGAAGAAAAAATTGGAACCTGTGTAGGGAGCTCAGTGTCTGGGCAACTGGGGTGAGAGAGTGTTTCTCCCCATCTATTCATTTGTTCCATTGGAACTTGGACTGTGTGAATGCCTTTCCCTATTCAAAATATTTTTAATTAAATTTAAATTATTAAATATAAACATTAAAAATGAAAGAATCTTGTCATCAGAATGGCCAAGTCTTAGAAATGTCATATCTCTAAGGAATGGGAGACTCAGGAATAAAGGTAGAGATTGGGACAGTCTGTCATTCTTGGGATCAAACTCTACTACTTAGAACTCCAGTTCGTTAATTAGCCCAACCATTTTCTCTCCAGGGTCCAAGCCTCCGTGTGCTCATCCATAAAATGGGGATAAGGTCTCCCACATCCCAAGGTTGTTGACATACAGAACTATGATACTGAACTTGATGTAGTTACAAAATCCAGTTAGCATTTCCAAAGCGATCATTCTCCTTTCCTATCCTTCAAGGCTGCTGGAGTTCCACCTCCTCTAGGATGCCCTCCGGGACCTGCAATGACCCTCCAGCCTCTCTTCCTCATTGGTACACTTCCATGAGCAGTCAGTTTTCTCATCTTGACCATGAGGTCCCTAGAGGCTGAGCACAGAGCTGGTGCTCACCCCACACCTTTCAAGTTGGGAGGGGCATTTTGGTCTTGCCTAGAGATTGTCAGGATGACTTTTGGTATCAGACAAACTGGAGTTGAAATCTACTGGGCCACTTGCTTGCTGTGTGACTTTGGGTTTAACCTCTCTGGGCTATGACTTTCTCATCTGAGGAATGAGGTCACTAACAGGGTTGTCACATCTGGTTTACAGGTACTTGAAGCCCTTGGCAAGATAGATGGCCCTCCGTCAGCATGCAATGGGCACAACAGGCCCTAGAGGGCCAGCCCAGAGATAGAGCCTGCAGCAGCTGTGTGGCTTAGGGCAAATTAACTCCTCTGTGACCATTTCTTCATATGTAAAATTAAGATAATATGAGCCCCAAGCTTCAGAGTTGTTGTGAATTAAAAGTTGATACATTTAAAGCATTTAGAAGAGTGCCTGGCCTATAGTAGGTACTTAGTAAATTTTAGCTTGTTTTTTAAAAATTTTGTACTACCACTACAGAACGTGTCCCAGCTCAGGAGATAGAGGACTCTGGACTGGAACCCACAGACTTGCTCTGAGTGTGACCCTGGACAAATCCGGCCTTTGCGACTCAGTTTTCCAGTCTCTGAAATGGGGGTATTGCGACTCCATGAACCCCAGCAGCTCTCCCAGCTCTAATGCTCGGGAACCGGGGGTGGAGGCTGCTCACCAGGTCCCCGCCACTGCCGGAGAGGAGAAGGTCTTTCACTGTGAGGTTGCAGCTTGGGGGCGAGACTGCCAGCTCAGTCTGCTCCTCAGGATAGAGCTCCGGGTTCCACATTTCTGACCAGGATAGATAGGGACAAAGACAGGAAGAGTGTCAGGCAGGGGGCTCTGACCTCCCAGCTTCTATCTGCCTCTTCCAGCAAGAGTTCCAGGATTGACCCCAATATGCTAAGGACTTTTAGTACAGCTTGGGGCCCCAAGGCCTGGGTTGAAGGAGACAGCCCTTGCTGGTGCCTCAGTCTCCCTGCTGTAACATAGAAACTCAAATTCATCAGGGCATTGTTGAGAGACCCACTGGTATGCAGTAGAGAGCAGTTGTTATTACCCAGGATTATAGACTAGATCTGTAGCCAGCCAGGCCTTATCTCTCTTTGGGACAGGGGCCAGGTCTGATTCACCTCTGGTTCCCTCCCACCTGGTGCTTGGCCCACGGTAAATGGGCTGCTTTCCAGAGCACAAACTTCAGAGTCAGATAGCCCTGGGTTCTAATCCTGACTGGGCTAAGCGTGTGACCTTGGATAAATGACTAAACCTCTCTGAGCCTGTTTCTTCAACACTCCAATGGGACTCATAAGAGCTGTGACCCCACTGCAAGGCTCAAAGGACAAAGGACGCCCTGCTGGGAGTGCCTTCTGCATAAGGCCTGCCTTGAGGAGAGCCTCGAGGACTGGGATCCATGGCCTCTCTCACTTTCATGGAGCATCTACTATGACCCAGACATGGGAGGTACAAAGATGAGGTTGCCAGCATGACGCCTGGCCAAAGTCAGCCTGCTATGGTTGCACCCCAGCTCTGCGGCTTTGACTTATTGCTTAATCTCATGGGGACTCAGTTTCACCATCTGGATAATGGGCCCACAACAGCATCCATCTCAAAGGGTGGGTATGTGTGTAACGGGGTAAGAGCAGGAGAGAAGACACAGAACTCACCCAGGTCTATGGCCACAGAGGCCTCGAGCACTTGGGCCACTGGCCCAAGGGGCTTGGTAGGGTTGTGGGGAACAGGATGGTAGGAGGGGCAGAGCCCCTTGCCAGACTCCGAGAAATGGCAGCCAGCTGGGGTGGCGGCCAGCCCATTGTGTGGAGGGGTATCCTGGGGGTCTGAGGGCAGATCTTCAGAGATGCCGCTGTCACTGTCCGCAGGAGACCAGAGAGGAGAGCTGGGCACTGAGTCTCCAGAACCCAAGATACAATTGAGGAAATCATTGGAGTCCGGGGCTGGCAGGACCTGCTGGGATGGAAGAGGTGGGGTGGGAATGAGGAGGTCTGCACTTTGCTCTGGATTGCTGTGTGACTGACCCTCTCCGGGCCTTGAACATAATCATGTGGCATGGGGACACCATCCAGCCTGGTCAGGGCATGAGCCCTGAGTTTGAGTTTGGACCCAACTCCAAACTTCTGTGTGAGCCCAGACAAGCTACTGACCCTCTCTGGGCCTTGGATTCACCATCTCTAAGGCACTGATTCTGTCTGCCCCTTGGAGTAGCTGAGAGGTTCAACACAATAATGTGCTTTGTTTAAATCACACACCATGAGCTGTAAAAGATACTGAGCTGAGAGGAGTTCTGTGCAGTGGGTCCTCACCTGGTCTCCAGCATGGCCCCAACCCTCGCCCAGATCTACGTGTCTCAGGATTCCATCCTGCTGATCAAACAGGAGATCCAGGAGCTCCAGGCTGTCGATGGGGCCCATGGCACAGGTGGAGGAAGTCATCTGGGGCAAGAACGGATGGGCGTGAGTCATGCAGCCTCTCTCCTCCGTATATCCCATCTGCATACCTCCCACGTCTGTCTAGCCCCAGTTCAATTTCCGCTCAGCCCCTAGGTCTGGCTTCTACCTCCAAATCAGTGCTGAGGGGCTGACCCAGAGATGCCCGGGGTATGAGAGCCAGTTTCTTTAAAAAGTGCTAGACAGATGCACATATGGGGAAATCAGCCTGGTCACTCCCTCGAGGCTGATGGAATTGGCCCTCTCTTTCATTCCCAGCCTGCCCATGTCCCCCTCCTGGGAGGTGGGGGGCCTGGAAGAAACAAGAGAGCAGCCCTGAATGGAGGTATGGTTTTGGTCACTGCATTCTCTCTCTGCACCTCAGTCTTCCCATCTGTGCAATGTGGTGGGGGCTCCTTCCAACTCTGGGAGCTTGGGGAGGGTTTCCTGGCATAGACCCTCCCGCCCCCCATGGACCCAGGCAGAGCTCACCTTTCCAGCTGCTAAATCTCCATTCATGAGCCCGGCCAGCTCTACCTCCAGCTACTTTCTGTGTCTCTGATCCGTGGAGGCTCACCCCAAGTCTTGTTCCTGTCTGTGGATCTGTCACCACCCCCAAAAGATGCTGAAATAGCCCTGGGGAGCTCCCAGCCCACCCCCAGCTGCTGATTGGGGGACAAGCAAGATGGACAAGGTTAAGGGCCAGTGATACCAGGGCAGGATGGGGGAGGGAAGAGAAGATCCGTTATCTTGATGTTTTGTGCTTTTCCTGCAGGCAGGGGCAAAGGCCAAAGTCTGGGGTGCCTCTGCTCTGCCATGACCTCTTCCCTACTTTTGGGGACTGTTTCTTATCAGGAGTCCTAGATGTTGGGATCCAGGAAAGCCCAGGGCTCCTGGCGGGGTCTGGTCCACTCCCTGGGCAGAACAAAACAGGAGGACCACCCCAGGCCTTTGCTGAAGCTGTTCTCCCTGCAGGAGCTCCCTTCCCTCATCAGAGCTGGCAACCGCCTACCCACCCACCCCAAGCCCTCCACGGCTAAACCCGTGCAATGGATTCCTTCTAGAATCTTTATCATTCATTTATTCAACAACTATTTATGGAGCCAAACCTGTTTTCACCTCAAGGCCTTTGCATTTGCTGTTCCCTCTGTCTGAAACTTCCCCTCCTCCGTCCCTGACTCTGTCACTGTGCCCACTTATTCGTGAATGTTTAATATTTGTGAATCAGCCCAGGTGGCTGAGAGGCCATCTTTGACCTCAGCAGAGGACAGACCCCTCCCCATATCTCTTTATCACATCCTTGTTTTCACTGAACCTCTCATTATTTAAAATGTTCTTATTTGTGCATTAACTTATTTGGTGTCTTCCCTCAGTTTTCCCCTCGCCACTACACCCAGGATGGAAGGGCCTTAGGGCCTAGAATAGAGTCTCTCTGTTCTCTGCTGGGTCCTCAGTGTCCAGGAAATGCCTGGTACACAGTAGGTGCTGAATCAGCTCTTCCTCACTGAGCACCTCCTATGTGCCAACCACCATTTTAGGCAGTAGGGATGAGGCAGTGAACGAGCTAGACCATACATGTATAAATAAACCAGTAAACAGATAAAGGGGTTAAGTACTACTGAGAAACTAAACGTCACCAGAGTTAAGGGCTAGGAAAAGACCCTTTTAGAAGGTGGCCTTTAAGTACAACCCTGAATGATGGGAAGGAGACAGCCATGGGGAGATCTAGGGGAAGGATATTTCAGGCCAAAAAAAATAGCACATGCAAAGGCCCTGGGTGGAGAAGGACCGTGCTGCAAGTTGGAGGAACAGCGAGGGGGCCTGTGTGCCTGGAGCAGAGTGAGCAAGGGTGAGAGAGGGAGGAGGTGAGGGCAGGGAGGGGACGGGGGAGGGCTGTGCAGGGCTCTGCGGGCTCTAGTGAGGAGTCTGGCTTATACTAACTAGAGCAAGAAGCTGTTGGGAGCTGAGGGAATACACGGCTCCATCAAGGCCTCTGTGTGCCAGGCCTGATGCTAAGAGCTAGGTTTACAGCGGCGACTAAAGCCCCTGCCTGCTCCCAGGAAATTCACATACTGCTTTATATCTCTCAATGCATCGGTCACTATTTAGTCATGTGACAAAAATTTAATGAGGACACACATGCTGTGGTTCTTTTACCCAATGATAACTTACACTACAGCAGTTACCCCCACTCAGAGGGCACTGGGTAATGCGTGGGGGCATCTATGGTTGTCACGGCTAAGGGCTGCTCCTGGCATTGAGTGAGTGGCTGTCAGGGATGCTGCTCAGCACCCCACAGTGTCCAGGACGGCCCCACACAGAGTGACCCGACACCAGTGTCAGCAGTGCCCAGGGGGAGACTCAGTGTTACAGGTAACTGTCCCCTCTGGATGCTGGTATCATCTTGTCCTTGACCCCCAGATCGCTCTTACTTCCTTTTTTAATCCCTCCGGGGTGGATCCTGAAGGGGTCTGTTCGGCTTGGCTTGGCTTTAGTGACGCAGTGATCACACTCACTCAGCCTTCGCTGTGGCACTGCGCCAGGGCAGTCCTGGCGGGTGTACCAAGGAGGCAAGGTCTGACTTCTGGACTTCTCTCTGCCTCCCCCTCACCCCCATTCCTGACTCGCAGGAGCCCTGACTCTCAGGATTCTTCCTCCTCCTCTCATGAAAACCTGCCAGAAAACAGGATGTGCGATTACTCATTTATACCTTCACACAAATTAAGGCTCTCCTAGTCCCCTCCCCAGGATATTTGTATTTCTTTACATTTTTTACCCCCCAGTGAAGCAATATCTGAACAAGAGGCGCAAGGGTAAACATTTGAGGGACAGCGGGACTTTTCGATACCCTGACATCACAATATCCCATGGACTAACCACAACCACCTACTTCAAAGTAATATTAAGTTGGAATCTGAAGTAAAATTCCCCTCACAGAGTCCACCAATATGGTTAAGTGTGAAACACAAGCCCAAAAGGATGCTGCGTCAAACAAGATGAAAGAACACTGCTCTTTCTCTTCAATGAGACGCCGAGCAGCGCCCCCGGCAGACGCAGAGAAGCAGATCTTTGTGGAGACCCTGACTGGCAAGACCATCACCCTTGAGGTTGAGCCCTGTGACACCACTGAGAATGTCAAAGCTAAAACCCAAGACAGGGAGAGCATCCCACCTGACCAGCAGCCTCTGATTTTTGTGAGCAAACAGCTAGAGGATGGCCACACTCTCTCGAGACACTCTACCACATTCAGGAGAGTCCACCCTGCACTTGGTGCTTCTGTCTGAGGGGTGGCATCATCGAACCCTCCCTCTGACAGCTGGCCCAGAAGTACAACAGCAACAAGATGATCCATCGCAAGTGTTAAGCCCACCTGCACCCCTGTGCTGCAACTGCCCCAAGAAGTGAGGCCACACCAACGACCTGCGCCCCAAGAAAAAGATTAAATAAGGCCCCTCCACCACCTCCTCGGGTCCATAGGGCAGCCTTCTGCCTGAACTCTGTGACCCTGAGGCCTCAATAAAGTTTCTTTTTTGTTGACTGGAGCAGTAAAAACAACAACAAAAAGATTAAGGGACACTGTGTTAATAAACAGCTTTTCAAAACTTATCAGAGCCTTTACACTCTTGGAGGGGACAGAGTCTGTAGCATTTCCCAAACATAGCTATATAGGTATGTTTTGTTTGTAATTTTTACTTCATTTATTCTGAACCATTTCTGACATGTGAAAATGTTGAAAGATACCCATTAGAATGACTAAAATAAAAAGACAGACAACATCAGATGTTGGTGGAAGCGATGGAGCAACTGGAACTCTCACCCACTATTGGTGGGAATCAAAATGGTCCAACCACTTTGATAAATTTTGGAAAATCGGGCATTCTCCTACAAAGTTAAACATTTATTTACCATATGACTTAGCAATTTCACTCTTGGGTATTTACCTAAGAGAAATGCAAATGTATGGTCACAAAAAGACTTGCACATGAATGTTCATGACAAGTCTATTCATAATTGTCCCCAACTGGAAAAAACTCAAATATCCAACAACAAGGGAATGGATAGACAAACTGGTATATCCATACCACACAACACTACTCAGCCAGCGCTCACCAAATTGAACATACCTAAGACATGCATTATTATTGTAAGTTAATTCTACCTCAATAAAAAGTATACAAGATATATAATAAACAACCATGCACACAAAACACTTAGTAAAACATTAGAAACAACCAAAATATCCATCAATAGGGCATTGATTAATAGAGTCTGATGCATTCACATAATGGAATATTATGTAGCTGTGAAAATTAGTAAGGATTATTTGTGTGTGCTGATAGGGGACAATATTGAATACACTGACATGTCATATATTTAATTTATTTATTGTGGTGTGCATTCACTCAACACACACTTACTGAATGTCTATTCTGTGTCAGGAAACAAAAATGTATTTTGCTCCTTCCCTTCATCAATATGGTCCAGGCAGGAGCTTAGCTAATCAGAGAGAGGAAGAGGTGTAGGGTGAAGAGCTAAAAAGTATCCAGCTAGGATTCATCTGCAAAATAGGGACTATCATTATGACAAGATCTAGTGTGCACCATATCCCCAGTGCCTGGCACTATGCCTGCTACACAATAGCTGCCCAATCAATACTTATAAAAAGAACAACTGAACATGTATAAACATAACTGTTGAGTTTAGTGTATAACTGACAAGCTACAGCCTGTAAGTCAATTCTGGCTCTCTGCTTGTTTTTGTAAATAAAGCTTTATCGGCACACAACCACACCCATTTGTTTACATAATGTCCATAATGTCTGTGGCAGAGTTGAGTAATTGCAACAGAGACCCTGTTGCCTGAAAAGCCAAAAATATTTACTATCTGGCCCTTTTCAGAAAAGTTTTCTGTGGTCTACAGGTTTAGCAGATTAGAGTTGCTCTGTCCAATACAGGAGCGACAGGTCACAATGGCTGAGCACTTGAAGTATAAAGAGTGTGACCGCCCAGCGGGGCGTGGCTCAGCGGTTGAGCTTCGACCTAGGATCCAGGAGATTGGGGTTTGATTCCTGGTCAGGGCACATGCCCGGGTTGCGGGTTGCAGCTGATTAATGACTCTCTCATCATTGATGTTTCTCTCTCTCTTCCTCTCCTTTCCTCTCTCTGAAATTAAAAAAAAAAAAAAAAAAGATATATTTAAAAATAAATAAATAAAAATAAAGAGTGTGACCAAGTACCTAAATTTCAAATATTATTTCATTTTTATTTATTTATTTTTATTTTTTTAATATATTTTTATTGATTTCACAGAGAGGAAAGAAGAGGGGGAGAGAGAGAGAGAAATATCAATGATGAGAGTCATTGATCCGATGCAGCCCACAACTCAGGCATGTGCCCTGACCAGGAATCGAACCCTGATTGCCTGGATCCTAGGTCGATGCTCAACTGCTGAGCCACGCCTGGCCGGGCAAATATTATTTCATTTTTATTAAATTTTAAAGCCAATGCTCAAATCAATTA